GTTCAGGTTTTAATAGTTGACTTTATAGGTACTTCTGCATCTGGTGAAATCTGATGCACCTCGGTTATACAGAAACACTGGTCTGGACCTGAGTCTTTTTATCAAACTGCATCCCTTGCAATTTTATATTCCTGCCCAGTCGCCTCTGAGTGGTCCTGCACTGATTGGGGGCAGATCAGCTGTCCTTGCTGTGCCCCAGCATCCCCTAGGCAGGCCCATCTTCCCCACCGCCTGCGCTCCAAACACTTCCCATGGAACGGGCCATGCTCCAGTCTCTTGTGATGACTCACTGGCCTCTGAGTTGCTCCTTTTTTTCAGTTGTTGTGGCTCCTTGGTCCTATGTGGGTCCACAGGAACCCTGTTGGTGGTACTGCTGGCCTGGGGGCCACCAAGGCCCTCTTCTCCCCTGCTGCCTCCAAGCAACTTCATCTGAAGGGCACAGCTGAGGCTTTTTGCCAGCTCCTGCTCCTTGAGTTCAGCAGCTCCAGCCTTAAAGCAGCTGTGGCACAAAACGGTTGGAGTAGTTTTTCTTTCTCTCATGGCTTCTCCCACCTTCATGCACTCTGTAAGTCTTTCCTCCTCTTCCCCTGAGCTCTGGCAGCTCCAGCTTGGCTGTCATTGCTTTTTAATAGTTGTGAATTGGTTGATTTGTGGGAGAGAGTGATGCTGGGGATCATCTTTTCCACCATCTTGACCAGAAGCCTTACCCATTGCCTATTTCATAATCAATGAGCTTATTTTACTTTTATCTTTTCTTCCCCACACTTCCCATTATTTAATGGGTGGTGTCTTAGTTCAGTTTTTGCTGCTGAAACAGATTACCACAGACTAGGTAATTTATAAAGATAGTAGTTTATTTGGCTCATGTTTTAGGAGGCTGGGAAATCCAAGAGTGTGTTGCTGCCATCTGGTGAGGGTCATCCCATGGTGGAAGGTGAGAGGGCAAGAGCACATGAGACAGAGAGCAAGAGAGGGAGGGGCTGAACTCATCATTTTTATCATGAACCCACTCCTGAGATAACTAACCCACTCCTGCAGTAATGGCATTAATCTCCATTCATGAAGGCAGAGCCCTCATGACCTAATCCTCTCTGAAATGTCCTGCCTGACAACAGTGTTGCACTGGGGATTGTTTCTAACACATCAACTTTTGGGGGACACATTCAAATAATAGCAGGTGGACTTTTTCTTTGTGGTGATGGTTTTAGATTAATGTTAGTTTTGCTGGCTCTTCTTTTCTCTTTCACTCAATTTTTTTTCCAGTAACTCACTGTAGTCTTTTTCTTTCTCTCTTTTTTTTTTTTGACTTATGGGTAATTTCAAGATTTGGCTTTGTTTCACTCAATTTTTTTTCCAGTAACTCACTGTAGTCTTTTTCTTTCTCTCTTTTTTTTTTTGACTTATGGGTAATTTCAAGATTTGGCTTTATCTTCTAGTTATACTGAAGGTATGGTTTCTGTATAGTTTTATTTGTTCTTATTGTTCTAATTGTTTTTTGAGGATTTATAGGGAGACTCAGATTTAGGCAATCAGCATTGTCTACATCTACTTGGTAATCCAGTAAATGTATTTTTGAATGATATACTAGAGATATCAGCTATTGTGTCCCTGTGGAGAACTTTTGTTGTCATCCACAGCCTCTGCTGGAGTAGTCCCACATGATCAAATTTGTAACTAAAACAGGTAACCTTGTTTATATTAAATGACCTCACCATTTTGGCTACAACTGATTGACCAGGATGGATACAGGACCTAAACTTTGTCAAACACATTCCATCTTTTGAGAATTTGGACTAAAGGATACCGAGAAGTAATCAGATAGTATAGGTCACTGGAGCTGTTAAAGTCGTGTAGAGTCAACGCCACAGTGTCATGAAAACTGAAGGTATGGAGGAGCAGAAATGAAGAGGCTCACAGAGGCAGATGGAATGCAAAGAGTACTGAACAAAGAGAAGTGGTGATGGTGTCTTTGGGGGGATGGGAGAATGAGGCAAGAAGAGATGAGAGCCAAGTACATCAATATAGAGTTTCTGATGACTATCCAGTTACCAGGAGGCCAGCTTGAATAACTTTCAACAATATTAAACATATCTTTCTATCATTATAATAAATTTTCTTTTTTTCTTGAGCTTTGTGTGTGTATTTCTGCTTCTTGCAACTAATTAATTCCTAAAGCCAATTAATTAATTGATCTCTTGAATTTAGTAGGCTTTGATAAAATTATACCATCCTGGTGTTATTACTCAGACTCAGTATGATGTGGGAGCTATTCACAGAATTGACTTGAGATGATTTGACAGTATAGCTCTATTATAAGAATTTTGGATCTGGAACAGACCTATGAGAATTATCTAGTTCACATTCTCTAATTTTAGAGGCGATAGGCCAAGGGAAAATGATTTGTCAAACTTTGATATTGAATTAGAGGCCCCATTAGAATTAGAACTGTGGTCTCTTGATATCCAGTCTGTTTTTTATTTGACTACCTGTAATGGGTTGAATAGTATACCCTCCAAATTCATGTTCACTTGGAACCTCAGAATGTGACCTTATTTGGACTAGCCTCTTTGGAGATGTAATCAAATTAAGATGAGGTCATACTCAATTAGGTGGGCCTAATCCAATATGACTGGTATTCCTGTAAGAAGGAAAAACAGACACAGGCAGAGACACACCAGGAGAATGCCATGTGATGACAGGGGCAGAGATTGGAGTGATGCAGGCACAAGCTAAGGAATGCCAAGGATTGACTGCCACCACCAGAAGGTAGAAAGAGGAAAGGAAGGATTTTTCTCTACAGCTTTCAGAGGCCCAAAGCCTTCCTGACCCCTGATTTCAGACATCTAGGCTGCTGTGAGAAAATCAATTTCTGTTGTTTGAAGCCACCCAGCTTATTATACTTTGATACAGCAGCTTTAGCTTCTTTTAGTATGAAGAGATTCTTCCCTGAATATCATTGAAAAATTATACAGAAAGTTACATTCATTTTTTTTAAAGTTTATTTGTTTGTATTATTTTTTTACATTCTAAGATATTGTTGCAGAGCAGTTGGGAGTGAGGAGGACAGGGGTAGGGGGGTAGGGGGAAAGAAATAGGGTGGGAGAAGGAAGAAGGAGGGGGAATGTGGTTGAGGCCTGTGGCACCCCCCTCATTCCTGCAGGGGAGACCAGGGGGCTTCCAGTGATAGCTTGGTCATTGCTGGGCTGGATGCAGATATCAGGGGGTATGGCTGAAGCCCTTGGTTCCCCATCTCCCCAGCTCTGGAGACCAGGGGGCTTCCAGCAGTAGTTTGGTGGTCATTGCTGGGCTGGTTGTGGGTGTTGGGCATGGCTGAGGCCCATGGCTCCTCTTGCCCCAGCTTGGTAGCCTGGGGTGCTTCCTGTGTGGCTAGGTGGTTGTCCCTGGGCTGGTGGTGGGTGTAGGGTGTGGCTGAGGCCACGAGTTATCTCGAGGCCGAGATGACCACCTGATTATTGCTGGGCTGGTTGTAGGTCTGGGGGGGCATGGCTGAGGCCCCCTGGCCCTCCCCGTTCCTGGCTTGGGAGCCCAGGAGGCTTCTGGTCCTTCTACGTTTTATAGGTGTTCTTTGGTGATGTGAGACCTTTACAAGGTAATGTCAAACTTTGGCTCTGGTTCGTGGGTATTTTGTTTTTTCTATCAGTTCTGTGTTGGATTACTTGCTGTTTCCACCACTTAAACTCTGCTTTGGAGTTAATTTGTTGTCCTTTGCTTCCTTCTAATATGGGGGAACTTCTTGTGGGACCAGCACTTGAGCCCTGTGGTTGAGCTAAATTGCTGCTTTTTTGCTGATTCCCTGGGGAAGGCTTTTTATGCAGCTCAGGTTTTAATGGTTGACCTTGTAGGCAATTCTTGGTCTCATGAGATCCAGAACACCTGGGTTGTGTGGAAGCTCTGGTCTGGGCCTGAGTCTTTTCAGCAAACTGCTCCCCCTGCAGATCCGTATTCCTGACCAGTCTCCACTGAGTGATCCTGTGTTGATTGGAGGGCAGATCAGCTGTCCATGCTGTGCCCTAATATTCCCCTAGTGGGCTCACTGCCCGCACTCCAAACATTTCCCATGGGATGGGCCGTGCTCCGGTCCCTTGAGATGACTCACCAGCCTCTGAGTGGCTCCTTTTTTCAGTTGTTGTGGCTCCTTACTCCTATGTGGGTCCACAGGAACCCTGTTAATGGTCTTGCTGGCCTGAGGGTCACCAAGGCCCTCTTCTCCCCTGCCACCTCCAAGCAACTTCATACGAAGGGCACAGCTGCAGCTTTTGCCAGCTCTTGCTCTGTGCATTCACCAGCTCCAGCCGTGAGGCAGCTGGGGCTTGAAATGGTGGGAGCGATCCTTTGTTTCTCTCACTGTGGCTTCTCCTGCCTTCATAAACTCCGTAGGTCTCTCCTGTTCCCCTAAGCTCTAGTGGCCCCAGCTTGGCTGCCATTGCTTTTTAATAGTTGTAAATTGGTTGATTTGTGGGAGAGAGTGATGCTGGGGACCATCTATTCTGCCATCTTGATTGGAAGCCCCAGAAAGATACATTCTTTTTAATTGAAGAAAATAGCTTTTTTGTTGGGTGCATCAATCTTAACTTTTTAATTCTTCAGTGTGCTTAGGTATACTCTTGTGCCATTTAGGAGTTCATGATACTGTTTGTCCTGGGATTTTCAAGGAAATATGTCCATAGAAGTTTTTTTTTTTTTAGGAATAACTAATGGTGGCTGACATATGATCTGTGTGTGTGTGTGTGTGTGTGTGTGTGTGTGTGTGTGCATGCATATTTTATGGATTTTTAATTTTAATTTTTTTGGCAGCTGGCTGGTATGGGGATCCAAATCCTTGACCTTGGTGTTATAACACCACACTCTAACCAACTGAGCTAACAGGCCAGCCCTCTTATGGATTTTTTTTTTTTAAATATGATAACCTGAAACATTCTACTCTTAATTTCAGATTGCTGAAGCTAAAGGAAATGTTTACCTCTAAGTTTGGATCTCTTCCCAAGTTTTATGTTCGAGCACCAGGAAGAGTCAACATAATAGGTATTTCAAAAGTTCCTTCTCTTAATTTTTTTCTCTTTCCTTTGGTAAGATGCAAATTTTGGTTATTACATTGTCAACCTAAAAAGACTCAGAGACATGCTCTCCAAAACAAATGACTTTATTTGGGAATAGCAGAGGATTGTAATCTGGGATATGTAAGCTATGACAGATCATAGGCATATTCAGGAGAGGTGGGACAAAGTAGAAACTTTTAAAGACAAAGAGAAGAAGCCTACATTAGCTGCATTGAAACAAAGTTTGTAGGGTCACAAGCTCATTGCAGGATTTGGCATTATTCATCAGTAGAGACAGCTGTTACTAGGTAAGTGTCCTTGTGCAGGCAGCATATCTCAAATACCACAATATTGAGGAAATTCTTGCAGTAAGTTCTGTTGCTGATCTACACGCAGGAATGTCTTGTGATAAGTCCTGTTATAGGCATGTGTACATGAGGGCTTTTTCTTCATGGCCTCCTCCAACTGCATGTTGTGAGTTTCATGTAAGTGACTCCATTTGGGCACCACCAACTTTCACAACATTTCTTTCAAAATTTTTCCAAAAATAGAATATTTCACATATACTTACTAATTTTAAGATATGCTTTTGCATAAGGAACCACACTTTACTTTCATTTTTCCCAACCCATGTTACTAATGTTACTTTTGTACATTTGTTTTTTGAATCTGTAAATTTGTTGAAACCCAGTTGTTAGTGTAATTTTCGTGGAAGATAAGAATATATTTCTATGCTGCAGGGGAAAATTTTAGACTATGGGAAGTAATTTTGGTGGTGCTACATTTACTTACTAGGTTTGAGGAACACTGGGAAACCTTACGATTCCTTGCTTTTCAAAGTATAGTCAGGTTTTGCTGGTATTCTAGATGTATTTGTTTTTTTTTGTTTGTTTCATCTTTGAATACGTTGAGTTTTACTACCTTTTAGTAGGAAATAACAGCCTTTTAATCTGTCATATTTCTTTTTTTTTTTTCCTTTTTGTCTTTTTTCATGACCGGCAACGGATCGCAACCCTCAGTGTCGCGCCCGTACCGGACCGGGACCGGCAACGGGATCGCAACCCTTGGTGTTGCCCCCGACCCTTGCTCAGCCAGTGAGTGGCCGGTCTGTATGTGGGATCCGAACCCTCGGCGAGAGCGCCGGCGCGCTTCCCAAGCGGTGCACTGTAGCAGTGTGCCACCGGGCTGGCCCTAATCTGTCATATTTCTGTCCATGTTCACATATATAATAATTGATATAGGTGTAATTAGATTATATGCCATTTTTATTGTTTTTTTATTTAATATAACATAAATATTCTCATGTTTCCATAGTGTTAATAGTTATTATTTCAATGACTTTATAATAGCTTACTGAGTTTATATTTTATAATTTGCCTAACAATTTTTTTTTTTTTTTTAAAGATGACTGGTAAAGGAATCTTAACCCTTGACTTGGTGTTGTCAGCACCATGCTCACCCAGTGAACAACCAGCCATCCCTATATGGGATCTGAACCCATGGCCTTGGTGTTATCAGCACCACACTCTCCCGAGTGAGCCACGGGCCAGCCCTGCCTAACAATTTTTTATTGTATAAAATTCTTTCCAGTTTTTCACTATTATAGCCAGTAATTTGATTAAAAGGAAACATTAAGTGAAAACAGCTTTATTCATTTTATCATTTTATTGTCTTTGGTGAGTTTTTTTTTTTGGGGGGGAAGGGAGAAGTAGAACAAAGGATGTACCCCCTTTAATGGGACTTAATATGTTGCTTATTTTCTACAGAAGGATATTGAACTTGTAAGTATTTGTTTGTACTTCTGATCAGCAAGATTGTTACTACTTGAATTTTCAGTAAAAGCTTTGTTGAGACAAATGCTATTTATGGAATATCATTTTGAGGATATGTAGAACCCATGTTGCTAGCTTCTATATTTTTTCTGGATCAAGCTTGATTCCAGAAATATATGTACTTCAAACAAAGAGATGTTTTCACCAAGTTGCACCTTGTTGTTATTTAGATTTAAGTATGAGACCCATTGTAGAAGCTATTGTGGAGATATTACTGAGAATATTGCCCATGATATCACTGTCCCTTCTCTGAAGGTGCAAGGGAGAACTTTTGCTTTGGCTGAGGATATGAATTGTATATGTCTGTACTGTCTGTTATAGTAGCTACTAGCCACATGTGACTATTTTAATTTAAATTAATTAAAGTGAGAGGGTTGGAACAAGATGGTAATGTAGGATTCTTCAGTGGTCATCCCTCAGCAGAAACATCAATTTGAAGGACTACCCATACACAAAAATACCTTCACAAGATCTAAGGAAACCAGATGAGAGTTCACAGTACCTGGTCGTAGCACAATAATAAGAAAAGACACATTGAAGAAGATAAGAAGGGCAATTTTACATTACTTTTGTTATTCCTCTCTCAACCCCAGGCAGCATAGCTTGGAGAGAGACCATTTGCTTGGAGGAAAGGAAAGTAAGTGAGCACAGGACTTTGTCTTAGGCTCCAAAGTTAGGCCCAATAAAACCAAGCATTGTGAAGACCCATACAGCCCCATTTTCCAAGTCAGTACCCATGGACTAAGCATCTAGACCTGCCCCAAGTTCTAGGTGGGACAATACAGCCCTAGACATCATGGCTAACTCAATCTCTGGCCTGTACCATCGCAGGGTTTACATCAGCAGCCTTGAGTACTGGACCTTTCTCAGCAGCAGGCTGGCCTCAATGGCCCCTGGCTTCAGGGAAGCCCCAGCACTGCACCAGACATGTATGTCCCAGCTTCTGGTCTGCCTCAGTGCTGTGCCTGCTGAAGCAGGCTCCAGGCTGCTGGAAGCACTGCACTAGCTTTGGCTGCCCCAGGCTTCTGACATGCCTCAGCACAATACTTGCCACAGGGCATTTCCAGACAAAGCCAGTCTGTGAAGACTGAAATAAGTACCTAGTTTTTTTTTTAAATGTACAGACATTGATGTATGACCACAAGGATCAAGAACAATTAGGGAAACATGATATCACCAAATGGACAAAATAAGGTGTCATGATTGACCCTAAAGAAATGGAGATTGAAGAACTGCTTGATAAAGAATTCAAAATAGCTGTTTTAAGGAAGCTCACCAAACCTTAAGAAAATACAGAGAATCAATTCAGTGAAATGAAGAAAACAATGTGACAAGGATGAGAAATTTAATAGAGAGGTTGAAATAATAATAATAAATCCCCCCCCCAGAAATTTTGGACCTGAAAAATACAATGAATAAAATGAAAAATGCAATAGAGAACATCAGCAGCAGAATTGATCAAGCAGAAGAAAGACTGTGAATTCAAGACAACTTATTTGAAAACATACAACTCAAAATGTATTAAAGACTGAAACAAGTTTTTTTTTTTTTTTGGTGGTTTTTTAGTATGGTGATCTGAGTCCTTGACCTTGTTGTTATAGCACAAATGTATTAAAAACTTAAATGTAAGACTCAAAACTATAAAACTGCTAGAAGAAAACATAGGGTAAAAGCTTCATGACATTGATCTGGACAGTGACTTTTTGGATATGACTCCAAGAGCCCAGGCAACAAAAGCAAAAATAGACAAGTGGGATTACATCAAACTAAAAAGCTTCTGCACAGAAAAGGACACAACCAGCAAAGTGAAGAGACAACCTACAGAATGGGAGAAAATATTCACAAACTATATATCTGGTTAGGGGTTAATATCCAAAATATATAAGGAACTCAGACAATTTAATGACAAGAAAACAACCTGATTAAAAATGGGCAAAGGACATAAATAAATTCACACACACACACACAAAAAAAAAAAATGTGGGGGGAAGAAGATATAACAACTACAATTTCTTTGAAGGTGTTACAACAAGCAAACGGAAAGGACATTCTTGGGTGGGAGGGGGGAGAGGGAGGAGGGAGGGAGGTTTCGGTGATGGGTCATAATAATCAACCACATTGTATATTGACAAAATAAAATTAAAAAAAAAAAATGGGCAAAGGACCTGAATAGACATTTTTTAAAAGAATGCATACAAATGACCGACAGGTATGTGAAAAAAATGCTCAACATAACTAATCATCAGGGAAATGCAAGTTAAAATCATGATGAGCTATCACTTCACACTTGTCATAATGGCTATTAACAAAAAGACAAAACATAACAAGTGTTGATGAGGATGTGGAGAAAAGGTAGCTTTTGCACATTGTTGGTGTCAATGTCAATTTGTGCAGCCTTTATAGAAAACAGTATGGAAGTTCGTTAACAAAATTAAAAATAGAACTACCGTATGAGCCAGTGATCCCACTACTGGGTATATATCCAAAGGAAATGAAACCAGAATATCAAAGAGATATCTGAACTCCCATATTCATTGTAGCATTACTCACAATAGCCAATATATGTAATCAACTTAAGTGACCATCAGTATATAAATTGATAAAGAAAATGTGGTATATGCACACAAGGAATACAATTCAGCCATAAAAAAGAAGAATATCCTGTCATTTGTGACAACATGAATGAACCTGGAAGACATTATGTTAAGTAAGATAAGCCAGGCACAGAAAGACAAATACCATGTGATCTCACTCATATATGGACTTTAAAAAAGTTGATCTCAAGCAGAGAGTAGAATGGTGGTTACCAATGGCCAGGGTGGTTGGGTTGCGGGGGAGGTGGTTGGAGAGATGTTGGTCAAAGGATACAAAATTAGTGCTTGGGATGAATGAATTTGTTAAAAGCATTATAATTTCTGTTGAAATATTGAAAATATAACAGTTTTCATATCTTTTTTTGCCATATTTGATGCTCATATAAGTAGTCACATAACATAACCTCTGGTAGATTGTAATGTCTGTGACTTAAGGAACTGCTGTCTTTTTTCAGTGCTCTAGCATCAGTGTAAAATGGAAAGTCTGGTGCAAAATAGATGTAAGTTTCTAGTACATATACTTTTTTCAAGTTAAGGAGATTTAAAAAGAATTCTTACTT